TGCAATGGCGATGAGTTTTTTGTTATTCTTACCCAATTTAGTTTCAGCCAATGTGTGAATTGAAGCAGAAGTCTCACTGGGCAGCTGCAAAGTATGAACCTTTTGCTTCTTTTTCACACTTGTTCATGTTCTGAACCTATTCCTTAAAGTTAGTATCTAAACTCTATTATGATGTCTTGTTTAGAACACTTCATCAGTGTGAAAGATGCGGTGGCTTCGCACCCTTACAATTTATCAAGTGACTATAAGGTGTTGGTTTGTTGGTCAAGTGCCACACTTGCAATCTATTGGTATTGGGATTGATTTATCCCAGAAGCATGCGTGGAACTACAATAGATCAATAAAAAGGCACCACAGTGGCCAGTGCGCAAAGCAACTTTGCTTAGCGACTGTTGGAGATGTGTCCCACCACAAGGGTGTGATGTAGGAAAACATAACCCAACATTTTTGTAAGAGGCTACTTCTAGGATACAAACGCCTTATCTCAAGGTCTCATGGCAATGTCTCAACTGGTGGCTTAATAAATAATCTTAATGACTTTTTTGCTCTTGTTTTTTAATTTCTCAGTTTCTTTGTGGTACTAACAACACAGAAAAGAGATGCAATCAAACTAGAGAGAGATGTTGAAGGTTGTAATGTCTGGTAGAATTCTTTGGCTAATATGTGTAAATTATCTTCAAGGTAAAAAGTTATTTTATAACTCTAAGAGCATCTCCAAAGGAAATGCTAAAGAATTTGGATGCTATAATTCAAAATAGATTACGAATAGTAGAAATGCTCCAACCATAAAATGCGATATTGAGTGTTTGCTATTTTTTTGTCTCAAATGCAGAGATAATAAATAGGGGTTACTGTAGCACCAGCGTCTATAATAGAGGATAGGCTTTAATTAAGCTGTTGGGTTGGAGGTCAAGACAATGAATAGTACAAACTATATTTGCTATTTTTGGTTTTTAGCCGACACGTTGGAGATGCTCTAAGTCACCCAAGTCAGTTTGCCTTGGGTGACTGTGGTGCTCTCATAGCTATCACGGTCTGGTGTTGAACTTGAAGTCTGAAAGCTCTTGCTTGTACCATAACACCTGTAGTTAGGCTAAATGGCAGTAAAAGATGTTCAGTGCGAGGCCAACCAAAAGCCGATTTTTCTATATTCTGATGAATTGACGTGCATCAGAAATTGTCATAGGATGCAACTTTGTTGAGGCCACCACCACTATTTATGGTCACATTAGTTTAAGATTTAGTTTACATGTTTAAGGATTTTAGAAGAAAAATATTCCAGTCCTTGATCCAAGACTCACTTCATTTACAAATCATTTCTTTGCGAGTTTCTGGTTTGCATGAGCGCTTACTTCTGAGAATAAATGCCTCAGAAATCTCTTACTAGTATCATATTTTTTTCTAGGCTGTGAAAGTTCTTAGAATCTCAGTGTGTTCAATGAACCAGAAAGCAGATTGTTCATTGTTGGCTTTGTATGTGTGTGTGTGTGTGTGTGTGTGTGTGGGTGTCTGAGAGAGAGTATTAACTTGAATTTGTAACTCTTGATGTGTTCCATAATGAACCTGACAGTTGCATCATTGGCGAGTTATTTTACAGTAGCACCTGTACAAAAACTACACTTATGTTTGTATAAATGATGCCCAAAAGTATGCTTTATGCAATGCAATACATCACTTTGAAATCCTCTGTGCATCATCAAATATACAAGGGAAAACAGCCTCTATGCTACATGATAATTGTTCGCGCAATTACTCAACGTACCCAAAGGCATATGTAGTCTCTCTGTATCTTGTGAGTGACTTGTATGGTTCTATTATGACTCCTCAAATTGTTTCTGAGCAGTCATTTATTCCACTTGACTAATTATGCGGACACTACACATTACTCCCTTTTACCCTATGTTAGTTGACACATACAGGGAATGATACATAAATGTTAGTCGATACAATGAAATAAAATTCTCTAATTGATTACGCTATAACATGTCTATCTGCAGATGAAGAAGACCAGATTATAATTTCAGCCCATGCAATTCATGGAAACAAATGGGCAGCCATTGCAAAAATGCTCCCTGGCAGAACAGACAATGCCATCAAGAACCACTGGAACTCTACCCTGAGGCGCCGGTTTGCAGCAACAAATCATTCCACATTACAATGTGGCAACGTGCTCGACGACCCGAGCAGTACGGACAGGATTGGGGCATCCTCTGAAGAAACCAAATCATGCGGGTATAATAATAATATGAATGCATTCAACAAATCCCCAGAAGGTGCGCCTGGCGATTGCAGCCCAGAGGAGACCACTCTCCCCCCTGTGTTCCGCCCCATTCCAAAGATCGGCGCTTTCAATGTTTACAACCTGTCCCCTGCCCCGCGGGCCCCGCACGTCCACCCGTCCACCCCCGACCCGCACGTTCTGGTGAACGCGTGTCGTGAGGTCGTGATCCCTTCGCACTGCGGCCTCGGCTGTTGTGGGCCCCCCGGGAACGGTCCCACTCCGGGTTCGCTGTTGGGTCCCGAGTTTATCGAGTATGAGGAGCTCCCTCCTGTTTCTAGCCACGAGCTGGCTGAGATAACCAAAGATTTGAACAATGTGGCGTGGATCAGAAGCAGCCTCGACAATCCTCATACCGGAAGAGCAAACGTTCCGGAACATTCCGCGAAAAACGACCCTCTTAGCTCCCAAGGAGGTGGAGGTGGAGGAGGAGGAGGAAGAAACCAGCTAACAGTGTCAACCCCATACACAATGCTTCAGTTTGCAACCTGAGATGTTTTTCATTTTTACTTCTCTTTTTCTTGGAGAGGATTGGAGCAGAATTTTGTGATGTGTATTTACATCTAATATAACATTTTATACGTATGTCCATCCATATTATGGTTACTCCAAAATGTAACTTTCTAATGGGAATATTTAAGTTCAAGCAGAAGAATTCCACCTGTTGGCTGCTGGTTTTCATTGGGGTATAACGGTCAACGGATTGACCAAGACATGAATGATTCCATATGTGGGAGAACTGAGAAGTAGTAACTAAATTTACCCCTATAAAATGCAGAGATATTTTCGTGATTAGATCCTAATTGATTCTATCCACATATATCTCCTAACTCATTTTTCTCAACAAAAAGCTTCTGAAGTGGAAACTTGGCTAGGGAATGTGAACCAAATCTATGAGAATTTAGTATTTATTAAGGTGTTTATAGATAGATGTCTAAACAGTCTACTTTATAAAGAGTGGACTAAATTCATTATGATTTTTTAGTACTACTAACTCTATTATAATGGACTAAGGGGCTGTTTGTTTCAGCCTCTTAATGGTTCAGATGTCTGAATGGTTCAGCACTTAATGGTTCAGACTGTTTGTTTCAGCCTCTTAATGGTTTAGATGTCTGAATGGTTAAGAGATTTGCCTCTGAATGGTTAAGTATTATACAGAGTCTGAATGGTTAAGACCTCTTATCTGAATTGATCAGACATTTGTCTCTAAATAGTTAAGCAATATACTAGCTCTTAATGGTTCAGACCTCTTACTGGTTCAGCACTTAATGGTTCAGACCTCTTACTGGTTCAGCACTTACCGATTCAGAAGTTGCCAAATAGCCCCTAACTAGATGTTATAAGTACCATACTACTATAATGTCACACAAATTATTTAAACAAAATCTGAAAAAACGTCGTTGGTTATTTAGCTCTTTAAGCAATGAAATACTACGTAATTAATATGCGCTTTCATCACAAAGGAGAAGTTGAGACTTGTGAGACTTTTATTTGGATTATACCTTAATGTTTGTGTTTTTTACGGTAACGAGTAAATAATACTCTCTCTCTCCATCATAGATCTTCTCAATAACTCTTTTTCTTTGTCCACGATAGATCTTCTCATTTCATTTTTTAACAAAGAAAATACCATAACTACCCACACTTACTTTATTTATTACACCTCACCCACCTCATTTAATACAGTCCACCCATTTTTCATTAAGGGTATTGATGGTGTAAATTACCACGCAAACACTAAGTAAAAGTAGTCGGAAGGGCTGTAGGTGGAAACACTTGTAACCCGGTTTGTTATTAATAATGCTAGGACTATTACAAAGTATAAGCCGTGTAGGTTAATCAAAACATACCTCACAAATGAGGATTTTAGGGGTATTTATAACATAATTAAGCACGTCAAGCACGTCTCTGGTTATCCAACCGGTCATTTGTCTGACCGGCCGCATAAGAGCACTTGGCGAACGTTTCTAATGCTGTAAGCATCGAGCCCAACTAGCCTACCGGCCTTACAACCCGGTCTGCGAAGGATGCGCTCCGTTACTTCAACCACCACCCAGCCGGACGAACCGACCGGGTGGTATCCATGGGTTATTACCCATCAAGGAGTCCTCCGATTCCCGGTCCTGTGGGGACCATCAGGAGCGGGAAGCACATGCGATTATATTTCGGAATTCGAACTGCCCAGTCGCTTTTTGGCGGGAAAACGGCCTCGGAAAACCAGCGCCCAAACCAAGATATTTGAAATTTGAAATTTGATTTTTGAATTTTTGAAAACCGGGCGTCCAAGGCGGGAGAATCTTCTCGAAATCGGGTACAGAGCCGCCGATTTAAGGTGCCGTTTCGTCTCCCCGAGAGGTTATGATGACGAATCATTTCAGCTGTCACGTGTCATTCCTTCATTCGCCCGTCTGGGCGGCATCTCCCCTATATAAAGCGTCGTTCTCCTTGGAATTTCCTCACTTGCAAATCTCCGATTCAAAAAACTGCCCGGCTTCCTCTGCTATTTCCGAGTCCTCCGAGTCATCTAACCGTTTCCAAGTAAGTCTTTCTTACCCTCTCTGAGTCATGTCAGACCGTGAAGATAGCCAGAACCCGTCCGTTCATTCCTATGGTTCTGGTGGCCGGTCTCCAACATCTGGTTCCTCTTCTTCTTCTTCATCCTCTGATTCCGAGCGCCCGGCTACTTCTCCACAAAAGAAGCCGGTTGACGCTTCCACTTGCGCTCCTTCTTCTTCCGCGGCGCAAGTGGTCTCGGTTGCCCAGACCGGGGACGAGGGCTTCGTCTAGCTAGACGACCGGAAGCTCCAAGAGCAGCCGTCGTTTATGCAGAAGCCCCAAGTCCACGAGCTGCGTAATCTGATGCCTGATGGATATCAATTAACATACCGGGCAACATGGAAGAGCATTATTCCTCTCCATACCGGTACGTCGATTGGTATCCATTACCATTCAATCAAAGACTTGGGTGAATTCTCAATTCACCCATTCAAAGTCCTTTTCCTTGAGACCTACGGGATCATGCCCGGGCAATTGGCCCCAAATGGTCACCGTTTGCTGGGCAGCTTCATCAACGTCTGCCGATTTCTCCGTATTCCTCTCTCCCTTCGTCTCTTCGATCACATATTCGATGTCCGGCCCGGATCCAAAGAAACTCTTGGATTCGTGGTGGTGTCTTCCCATCAAGGCCGGGCATTCCTTTGTGGCCTTCCACCTTCTAACAAGAGGTGGAAGGACAAATACGTGTCCATCAAGTTCCCCTCGACTTCTTTCCCTTTCACCCAAAATGTCTGGGGGAAGAGTATGAGGCGTCAGGTCAAACCCGCGGAGGCTGATGACCTGGCTGCTTGGGAAGCTACTCTCCGGGCCGGGGACGCCTCCACCCGCAGTCAGTACCACGTTGGGAAGTGGAGCGTTTATCCCGGCCGGGAGACCGACCCCGAGCCGGAGATTGTTCCGCCCGGGACGATCCCCGAAGCCATCCCCATTATCCGGGCGATGGGATCCAAAGCTCCGACCACGACCACCGCCGGTCCTTCACGCCCGGCGAAGAAGAAGAAGGAAAAAGGTCAATCACCGTCCTCATCATTATTTTTTAAATTTATTCATAACTCCTTTCTTCTAACCGGTTTCTTTTCTGTTTCAGTGGTGAAATTCCAATCCAAATTCGCCGTGCCGGAGATAGTGGTTGAGGAGCCCTCCACCGCTCAGCCACTAAACCCTCCACCCAGCCAGCCTCTCTTCTTGGAGGAGCAACCAACCCAGTCCCATCAGGGAACTAATCAGCCCCTCCACTCAGAGGATCTCTTCATCAATGTAGATACTCTCGAGTTCGACAACCTAATGGGGGAGGCCGGGCACACTTCCCAGGCTGGGAGGGTAGGCCAGCCCAACGAAGAGGGCGATGCCGAGGAAGAGGCCGCTGAGGCGTCTCTTCAACGGAAAAGGCGGAGGACCGAAGAGGTCGACCAGCCAGCTCACCAGGGGCCCCAGTCCTCCGACGCTGGCAAAGGACCCATAGTGACCCAGTCTCCACTTCTGATGAGCCGGTCGAACGAGGAGCTTTTCCAAGCTTTTCGTGCCGACCTGTCTGAGGTAACCCCCCTTTCCTTATTGTTCTTGTTTGTTTTGTTTTTTTTTGTTGTCTGAAAAACTTTCCATGTCTTTAAAGCAGGTTGGCCGGATCGGGGAGGAATACTTCGCCCGGCTGGTGAAGTCGGCGGATGAGGAGAAGGCCCGGATGGAGGCCATGATGGTCTAATGCCGGAAGGATGCTCAGGCCGCCCGTGCACATGCGGAGAAGACGGAGGCGAAGTGACTGGAGCACTGCGCGGTCTACCGTCAGCTCTATGCCAAGCACGACGGTCTCCTCAAGGCCGCAAAAGAGGCCGATGAGCAGGCCCAGGCCAGGATCCAGCAGCTGGAGGCCGAGGTCGCCCGGGCTGCCGAAGAGAACCAGAGGCTAGGGAATGAAAACGCCCGGTCTGCTGAGGAGATCGCCCGGCTGGGGGACGAGCTGCAGAAGGAGCAGTCGGAGCGTGCCGCCCTTGCCGCTGCCTGGGCTACTCAGGCGCCGGAAGAGTTCGCTGCCAAGGCCCTTCCAGACCGGGAGACAGCCATCCGCTTCTTCCAGGGTTTATATAAGCATCCTGTATCGGCCGGCCTGGTAGACGAGATTGGGACCTATGGGTATGAAAGCGGCCAGTGCTCAGAGCGGAAGGCCCTCTATGGCATCCTTGCGCAAAGGGTTCAAAACTTTCAACCCAAGCTCCTATCTCTGCCCGAGCTCCATGGCGAGGCGCCTGAACCTCCTTTCTCGGGCATCTGATCCATCCGGCCTTCTTCTTTCTTTTTTTTTAATGTAATGTTCAGCCTCCGGGCACTTTTGTAAGACTGAAATATTAATGAAAATTTTTTTTTTCTACATCATGTGTTGAGTACCCTTTTTTTTCTCATTAATTCTTCCAACTTGGATTCTTCAACCGTTTAGATTAGTAGATAACAGCCCGGCTGTAACTACCCGGCTCAGAATACAATTCTATCCGAGCCATTTCGAAAGACTGGATAATCAGCCGGGAAGACTCTAAGTTTTATTAATTTCCTCCCGGTTTTGTCTTTACCTTCCATGGCGTACTGACTTATCCTTTGCGAAAGGATAAGCACTTGCCCGGGTTCTCGCAGGGTCAATCTGTTTACAGAATGGCCTAATGCCCCGTATAGATAGGCAAACCTCAAATTTTTCTTGCAAACATCTGGCTTAAACTGGCCGGGATGCTCTCCCACTAGTAAAGCCAAATTGTTTTTTAACTCCCGTGTCAGTACGGATGAGGTCTTAGACCGGTCAGACCGGTTCTTTTTTTTTTTTTTGGCGATGTCCAATTCGATTGGACACCTAACCGGGTAGATCGGTACACGACGGATGACCGGTTAATATATATACGAGAACAATCCTTCTGAAAAGAACGAACTTTTATTAATGGCTGGGAACTCATTACACTTTTATCTATAAAATTTACGTAAGTGGTGAGAGTTCCAATGTCGCTCGACCCGGCCGCCTTCCATAGTCTCTAACTGGTAAGTGCCCGGTCTGACAATTGCTTTTATGCGATAGGGCCCTTCCCATTTTCGTACTAGCTTGCCCCTCTCATTAGGCTTACTAGAATACCTTCTGCGCAAGACTTCGTCATGTACTTGGAAGTACCGCGGCCCTACCCAGTTATCATGATACCGTTTTACTGACTGCTGGTAGCCGGCCATTTTGACAGCTGCTATGGTCCTTCGTTCCTCTACTAGATTTAGCTCAGCTAGGTGTTCAGTTTCATTCAGACCGGGCTGATAGACGGTTTCTCTGAATGTTGGAATTTCTGCCTCCACTGGTAACCGGGCTTCGCATCCGTAGGTTAGCACGAAAGGAGTCTCTCCAGTTGCTCTTCTTGAGGTCACTCTGTGTGCCCAGACCGTGTGAAACAAGGCTTCTAACCACTTGTGTCCTTCTTCACCTAGCCTCTTTTTTAGACCGTCCACAATTGTTCAGTTAGCGTTTTCCACTTGGCCATTTCCCTGTGGATATGCGACCGAGGCCTTGCTGTGCTTGACCCCGAAGCTAGCAAGGTATGCCGTAAACCGGGGATTGCGAAATTGGGGGCCATTGTCGGTGACGATGATTTTTGGGGAACCAAACCGGGTAATGATGTTTTTCCAAATAAATTTCTCACATTGCCGTACGGTTATGGTGGCCATCGCCTCAGCTTCAATCCATTTGGTGAAGTAATCAATAGCCACCATAACGAACTTCTTTCCGCCTTGGGCAACCGGGAAGGCTCCAATAATGTCAATCCCCCATCGGGCAAAGGGTATAACATTAGAGGTTGGTTGGTAGTAAGTGGCCGGTCTGCCGGGATGTTTGTAAAAAACCTGGCACGTCCTACATTTCTGGACATACCTCTCATAATCCCCAACAATGGTCGGCCAGTAGTAGCCTAGTAGGATTATCCTTTGAGCTAATGTGCGAGACATTTGATGGGCTGCACAAACTCCCTCATGTACCTCGGCAATTACCCGCTCAGCCTCCGGGTTGGTAAGGCAACGCAAGAGTGGTCCGCCAATTGCTCGTTTGTATAAGTGGCCGTCGATCACCTGGAAACGTGGAGCTCGTAGGACTACTTTCCTGGCTCGTTCCTCGTCATCAGGCTTCTGACCGGTCTCCAAATACTCCATGAGCTCGTACCTCCAATCATCATCTGCCTCGATTATCCCGGATGATGAAGTCTGACCCGGTTGGATGGCTGCAACCTCAAACCGGTCTGTACTTGGCACGTCTAGTATCTCAATTTTCGCCAATTTGGACACATGCTCCGGGCAAGCTTGCGTTAATTTCGAAAGCATGTCTGCATCAGCATTCTCCGACCGGGGTATCCTAGTCAGACGAAACTCTTCTAATTCCCTTAGAAGCGCTCGGACCAAGTCGCCGTACCGGGCCAGGCGATCCTCTTTCACTTCCATCTCACCATTGACCTGTCCAACCACTAGGCTTGAGTCGGAACGGATCTTCATCCTTTTTATTCCAAGCGCCCGGGCTATTCTGAGACCACCGGCTAAAGCTTCATACTCCGCCTCATTGTTGGTGAGTTTGAAGTTGAAGATCAGGGCATGGTAGATCTTGAATCCTTCCGGGGTAGTGAAGACCACGCCGGCTCCGCATCCTTTCGGTCCAGAGGCCCCATCAACGGCCATATCCCACCACGGTTCGACCGTATGGGAAGGTCCGGCTTCGGGCTCCAGACTGGTCAGTTCAACGAGGAAGTCAGCCAAGGCTTGACCCTTAATTGCAGTCCTCGGTTTATATTCTATTTTGAACTGGGTGAGCATCATTGCCCACTTGATTAATCTTCCCGAGGAGGTCGAATTCCGGAGGACCGGTCCAAGTGGCTGATCGGTCAATACTTCCACGGTGTGAGCTTGGAAGTATGCGGTCAGTTTTTTGGCCGTTATAAAAAGTGCGTATGCCGTTTTTTCAATGGCAGTGTACTGGCTCTCAGCCCCATTTAGTGCTTTACTCACATAGTAAATAGGCCTCTGGCCGTCTTCATTTCTTATCAAAACGGAACTTACAGCATTTTGGGAAATTCCCAGATACAAGTACAAAGTCTCACCCGGTTTGGGCTTTGACAACACAATATCAGAGACTAAGTACTCCTTCAGCTGCTGGAAAGCTTCCTCACACTCCCGGTCCCACTCGAACGTGTTGGCCTTCTTTAGCACCTTGAAGAAAGGCAGAGCCTTCTCGGCAGACCGGGAGAGAAAACGACTCAAGGCTGCCAACCGCCCGGTGAGTCGTTGTACGTCTTTCAACGAACTGGGCGACCTCATTTCAGTTATGGCCTTGATCTTCTCCGGATTAGGCTCAATTCCACGCTTGGTCACCATGAACCCCAGAAACTTACCGGTCTTTACAGCAAAGACGCATTTCTTGGGGTTGAGACGCAAGTTGTACTTAGCCATAATCTCGAAGCAAAGCCTCATGTCGGCCGGGTGGTTCTCCGCGCCCGGGCTCTTGATCAGCATGTCATCCACATAGGCCTCCATGGACTTACC